AATTCCAAATATTTTTAATAAAATTATAGAAGAAATGAAGTATAAAATACTTGTCAATGAAATTACAACAGACTATGGTACTTGTATTGACAATGTCATAACCAACACTGATTTTAATGTAATTGTTTATGAAAGTTTAGTGAGTGACCATAGACCTTTGGTTTTAGTGAACAAAGAAATACAACTTTCTTCCCGATCTAATAGCGATGAAAGGATTGATAATCATTATGTACCACCACTAAAAGAAAAATTACGACTTTCAGAGGATTTAGATAAAAACATTGATATTGTATTGCAATCAGTTGTACACAGAGATAGAGATGACGCTCTTATCGTGCCTGGAGATGACGTAGAAATGATTGAAGATATTTTTAATCGTTCGATGAGTATCATCGATGACAATGATGCATTAATCGTACAAAAAAGTATTTTGAAAAATAAAATAAACGTAGATAATGTAAAAATTTCTCGTCAAATCATTGGCTTTGCTAATATAGATAATGTATCATGTTATTCCAACTCTGTTATTCAAGCTTTATATCATTGTGATACGTTTGTAAGTACTATTCATAAAGGCCAAGCTGGAGAAATATTGAAACAACAGCTTATTGGTTATGAAAAAAATGAAGTGACTGATACGTTTGAAATAAGAAAATACGTGGATGACACTTTAAACAACACGATTTTTACTAGGAAGGAACAACAGGATTGTGTAGAATTTATGGAAGCTTTAATGAACTGTAACCGTAGTGTAAGTGATACCTTATTTAGTTTTACTGAAAGTTGTATAAACTACTGCGATTATTGTAAAAAAAAAACTTGTAGTTCAGAGGAACGCAATCTTGTGAAACGTTTAGAATTACCTTCTAATCGAAACCACAGTATAGAACTAGAAAGTCTACTTGAATTTAATAAAAAAAAATGGACATCCATTGATGATTATTCTTGTCAAAACTGTAATAAAACAGGTGGTTTCAAAAGACGACATGAAATAATAAAAGCAAATGATTATTTGATATTACAGTTGTCATTATTCAATTCTAGTTGGATAAATGGTCAATATATAATTAGTAAAACAACAGATCTAAAATTAAAAAATTTGTCCAAATCTCGATTTACAATAGAAGATTCTATTTATACACCGTCAGTTACAATATTTCATATAGGCAATGACACTAAATCTGGACATTACATCGTATATTTAAAAGAAAAGTCTAGATGGATATGTTGTGATGATAAAAATGTGTCTGAAAAAAGATGGCCAAATAATGGAAAAGGGGCGTATTTAATTATTCTAAAAAAGGATAACACATCTGTCAAAAAATTAGACAGTCTAAATAGTCCATCAAAGAAAAATAGATCTAATGTATTATTGGATAATAAGAACAATATATTGCAATTAGTTATACACGAAGAAGATGATTATGCACTTAAGGTGCCTGATGATGTAGCAATAATGGAAGATTTGTTCAATCGGTCATTAAGTATAACTGATGACGATTATCAAATCCAAAAAAGTCCATTATTATATTTAAATGAAACTCAAGATCATAATTTAAGAAATGATTTTTACTATAACAAATTACCAAAAAATTTGAAATACTACAGACAGGTAGAAGACCATACAAATATAGTTAAAAAATTAATATATAGCAAAATTAAACTATTTAATTTTATTTGTGGAACCTATTATCATATTATACCTGATTCCACAATGTATACTATACAAACATTAGAAATAAGTGATTTTATGTGTCTGTATGATGATAACTTTCTTAGCAACTTTGTGATTGATATTTGTTTGGCTATAAAGGCTATCAAAAATCAGGCAGAATTTAGAGTTTTATACTGTAATGAAGTAACGGAAATTTTAAGTAGTACAGAGTTAAATAAAAAACAGAAAATTAGATATAATTTTGAAGAAAATAGTGTAGTCATTATGCCGTGGCATATAAAATTATCAAAATTGAATCATTGGATTATTGCAATAATTAATTTCCAACTTAAAGAGTGTTACATATTGGACCCTATGAATCCTACTAAAGATACAAAATACAATCAGCAAAAGTTTCAAAAATTGTATAGAGCTTTGAAAAAACATTGTACTTATGCTAAAAAACCTATCCCTCGAGTATCATTGGTTCAATGTAAAGCCAAAAACATACCAAAACAAGTTGATGCTTATAACTGTGGAGTTTATATAATATACTACGCTATCACAATAATGAATAAATCACATTTTGACAAGAAGTTCAACCCTAATACTTATAGAAACGAATTAAAAAGTTTATTGCTAGAAAATTCAGGTGACATGGAAAACATATGTTTATATTGCCAAAAGTATATAGAACATCACAGCAGAATTGAATGGGTTTCATGCACTACATGTCGTCGTCGAGTAGTAACTGATTGTATAGCTGATCAGTATAGACTAAATGATTATAAAAATGTTGATTTCTATTGTATTTTATGTGACAAGACTAATAATTAAGTAAAAATATTTATTATAAAAATTTTATTTTTAATTAACAGCAAATCGTCGTCTCCATAAAAAACCCATTTTTTATCAATATAGTTTATTTTAAGTGTAAAGTTTAAATCTATAATTCTGATAGATAAATGGATATAAATTTTGTTTTCATAAAACGTTTTAAATTTTTACCTTGATCTTTTGAGTAATTATGTTGACGATATTAAGTAAATTTTAGCTTCTTTTATTTTGTATTAATTCAACTTAAATATTTTTAGCTCAAGACAATATAAGAGTAAAATACCTTCTCTGCTTCATATCGAAGCTAAAAAAAATTTTTGGGAGACTTAACAGCCAACCTCCTCGTGGTGTCTCCTGGGTAACGCTAATAGGCTGAACTATGAAAAATTATAAATTCATATCGTTACAATAGGCTAAAATTTAGGAATTAAATCATATATGTAATGGGTAAAGTTTTATACTTTAATGAAGTAATAGAAATTTTAAGTAGTACACAAAAAAATCAAGAACAGAAAAATAGGTATAAATACGAAAAAAATTATACTGTCATTATACTTAGAAATCAAAGAACTACTAATCAGGCTGTAATTAAAGAAATAGAAGTTGATGTTGTTTTTGAAATAATTAAACACTACCTACAGATTTTTAATTGCTATAATAAATATTTATTCATATATTATACTTCTAAATCAAAAAACTACTAATCAGGAATAATAAAGGAAATAGGAATTAATTTTGCTTTTGGTATAATACACCATTATTTTAAAATTAAACACTATCTACAGATTTGCATCGAAGCGTTTTTTATGATAGTGATTTTAATCACTGTCAGATTAAATCTATACTGGAACCAACTATGCCACGACCCCACTGTGCCGCCACCCCACTGTGCTGGGTTTTTTTTTATGTAAATACTATTTTTTAATAATATTAAAACTTAGAAGTGATAGAAAAAGTCTAATTGCAAATTTGAAAACGTCACGAAAAGTTGATTTAGAATGTATATTTTTGTTTCTGATTAAAGTTCCTTGTAGTACAATGTATAAAACTTATAACTTTGTTAACTGTTATAACTTTATCAAAAATGACCAAATCAGTATATTTTTTTTTATTTAGATGCATGTCTTTATCTATCATTTGGTTTTTTTTTATAAATCTAACCCTTTACCTGCCCACAAGAGGGATTCAAAATATTAACTTTTTTTTTTTTAGTTAAAGTAAATCATTAAAATTAATTCAGTTCTGGATATTTCAATAGTAGAATCTTTTTAAATATCAAAAATTACTTAGAAATGATTACTATGATTTCTATTTAAGTGTTCTATTACGATAAAAATGCAAAAAATAATGAGTTTTTCTGATAAATGTACTGTAAATAGTAATTATAAAATTTCCTGACTGCATATTAATCTTAAAAATTACATTGTTTTAATTCTCATAAAATTTTCTATTTAATGATTTATTCTAGTTAACGAAGGAGTAATTTTGGCGAATAACAGAAAAAATTCCCAACCAAATTTTTTTTTTTTTTTAAAGTAGGAAATTGGTGGTTTATTCCAAAAGCAACATCAACTCTTATTTCTTTAATTATATCCTGATTAGTAGTTCTTTGATTTTAAAATATAATATATGAATAAATACTAATTATAGTTTTTAAATTTAGTATGAAATTGATATGTAATACTATAATATTGTAATTTAAACGGAAAAATCAAAAAAGTACTAAAGAAGTTATATTTTGCTTTACTTTTAGGTGTATACAAATATAAAGGGCTTGATACAATAATTTTCAATAAAACCTGTTTGTAACTATAAATGAATGCACTGGACTTCAAGGAACTTTCATCAGAAGCAAAAATATACTTTTCTAAATCAAATTTTCGCGTTGTTTTCAAATCTGCAATTAGACATTATCTATCAGTTCTAAATTTTTATATTATTACTAATTACATATAAAATAATAATTAAAAGAAAAAAAAATTGTTTTCAAATTATTACTGATTTGATTTTTAATATGTTAAAAATAATCAGTCCAAATTTTCATTTTTAACTTATTTTTTTGGTTCTTTAAAGTTGATGAAAAATTTTTTATAAAAAAAAGTGTTATTGATAGAAATGTTATTCGAAAATTAGAGGTCAAAATATTAAAATGCTGTGCGCCTCGATTTCAATTTTTCTAAATGATCTTAAATGATCAAAGTATTATTTTTTTATACTAAAGAAAAAATGGAAGGATGTCCCAAAAGAAATTTTGAAATTCGTAAAGTAAGGACCACCCTAATAAAGATAATAATGAGACTGTGGATGTTTTTTATTTAAGTGTGTATACCAGAAATACTCAGTAAATACCATAGTTTAATTATTATAAAGGATCTTTCTCACCATGGCTTGATTTTGAACTTGAAAACTTATTATTAAAAAAAAATTGCATACAACTATCAAACAAACTAATAATACAACTATTTAAATTGAATTTAAATAGTTGTTTCAGTAATTTAAACTAAATTAATAATTCTACAAAATTTTTAATCAAAAAATTTAATACAATATTAGACAAATTAAAAAGTGGTTAAAAATTAACTTATTTCACAAATAGCTTTTAAAAAATTATAGTATAATAATTATATTTCATTTTCTATTTGAATTGTATTTCTTAATCATCACCTAAACAGACAACATAAAATTAATTTACAGTAATATTCTAATACAAAACTTAAAATTAGATAATTATTATTATAGTAATAAACAATAAATTTAATTAATAAATAATAATACGACACAAAACTTATTACTTCAATGTAAAATTGTATTAGTAATCCAAAAATTAAGTATTAATTTTTTTTTTTTGAACTTCATGAAGGTACGGATATTTTTCTAATGGAATTATTTTAAAAAATTTAAATTTTTCCAATACGAATTAAAAAAATATTATTTTATGTACAATTTAAAGTTATTTAGTTAAGTACTTACTCGTATCTTGAGGAGTCATATTGTCATCTAAACAAATAAATAAACATTAAATTAGCGATGTTCAATCTTATCCTATGTATGTTAAAATTATTTATAAATAATAAATTAATCCTTTGAAGAACAGTTGTACTTAAGATAATTAAAGATAATATCAATAAAAAATAAAATTTTTCTAAAAAAAACAATGTTATCCTTATATAATATCTTCAACAACACAATATAAGATAAGAGAAAAAAAAATTAATAACTATATTCCTCAAACAATTATGAAATATTATCTGCTTTTAATTTGCTATATGAGTTGCATTTCTTTATCATCACCTAATCAGAGTTCTATGCCATAAGTCCAAATTGGTTTAAGTAACATTTTGTATATAGTAAGTTTTGTTTTTGTATTAATTTTTGATTTGTTATTGAGTAATGGCCGTAGGAGTTTTAGGCGTTGATTTAATATTATTCTTTTATCATGTAAGTGGGGTGCTCATGTGAGACGTTTATCTAAAATTAGTCCTAGGTATTTTGTTTTGGTCATAATTGGAATTTGGGTATTGTTGATTGAAACAGGAGGAATGTTTTTTTTGCAAAGAGTAAAAGTTATATGGGCAGATTTATTTTCGTTAATTTTGACGCGCTATTTTTTATATCATTTTGACATTTCATCAAGATGCAGTTGTAAGTTTTCGCTGACTACATTTGGGTTTTCATGGATAGAGATGATTGCTTTGTCATATGCGTAATCGGCTATTTTTGTGTTGGAAGTGGTTGGTTGATCTGAACTGAATAGATTAAAAAGAAGTGGTGAGGAGATAGCTCCTTGAGGAACGTCTGCTTTTATTTCGCACAAATGAGAGATATCAGTGCCTATTCTGGTGGCAAAGTAACGTTGGTTGAGATAGGATTTAAATAATAGAAAGTAAGAGGGTGGTAGAATATTACGAAGTTTAATCAGGAGGCCTGAGTACCAAACCCGAACAAATGACTGAGAAACATCTAAGAACACTGTTGTATAGTACAATTTTTTCTCTAGTCTAAGAGATATAAGATCCGGTGCGCCTGGTGGATTGTCGAGTGACGTTCATGGAACCCAAATTAGTAGTCTGGTAATATGTTGTTTTTTTTATTATTGGGGTAATACGCTTTAGAATAAGTTTTTCGCATACTTTAGAAAAAAAGGGAAGTAGACTTATGGGTCTGTACGAGATGGGATGACTTAGTGATTTGTTTGGTTTTGGTATCAGGATAATTACTGAAAACTTCCACTGAGCTGGAAAGTAAGTCAGACGCAGTATACTATTTATTAAGAATGTTAAAAAGAGTATTGCTTTTTTTGGCAACTGACGGGCTACTTCTGCAGTAATTAGGTCGTATCCAGGTGATTTTTTAAAATTAAATGTATTTATGTATTTTCGAACTTCTCCAGGCGAGAAGTGTTTAGAAGGTAATGTAATAGGTAATACATGATTCCTAGGCGGCAGATTGAATACACGTGGTGAAATTGTTAACCGCGTTGTTTATTTTATCGGGTGATTTTAGACTTACATTGAGATTAATGTTACTATATTAATATTTTGAAACTTCATATTTCCATTTGTAAGAGAGGGGTTTTTTAAACGATAGGGTACTGAGGTTTCAAGTTTTAATAAAACTGGTGAGTGGTCTGAACATGGATCTAGTAGATTTTCTATTGTGTGAAATATATAGTTCGGGATTTTTGTAACAAATATTTCCGTTATATCGGGATGTTTACTTAGGGCGGTTGGCCAATATGTTGGCATTTGTGGCGGGATTATTGATAAATTATTATTATTTATGACATGGAGTAAAGAGTTTCCTCTTTAGTTGTTAGAATAACAACCCCATTGTAAATTTTTGGCATTTAAATCACCACCCACGATGAAACTTTGGCCTAGAGTAGAAAAATAACTATTGAAATTTGACGAAGAAACCGAGTGCTTCGGAGGACAATACACATCTTCGATTGTAATGGGCACATGATTTAGTGTTATTTTTATGGCAGCAGACTGTAAAAAATGTATATTAAATTGGATATATTGATAAAATTGTATAGTGCTTTTAATTATAATAGCTGCACCACCGTGAGCGAAGTTATCCGGGTGGTTTGTATTTATTGTTTTGTAACCAGGAATTGAGAATTTTGTTCGACCAGTGAGATGGGTTTCAGAGATTAAGACTATATTAATTTTTTTGTCAAGAAATAGGTTTAAAAGTTCATTTTTATGGTTAAAAATACCATTTGTGTTCCATGAAAGAATGAGTAGTGAGTTATATATGTTTGGATACATGTTTATTATTTAAAAGACTTGAGATGACTGTGGTCAAAATGGAAAGAAGAGGATTTATGACTTGCTTAAAGTCATCTAAAAATTTAGTGAGGATATTTTCAAAGCTAGGGGGAGGAAAACTGGAGTACGTATTATTTAATGTGGTGTTACCAGAGATCGCTGCATATGACTGGACTTGTATCAGTTGGGTGATGGTTTATGGGGCAGAGAATGGTGCTGTTGTTGTTGTATTTTGAATTGGTTGGGTTTCGGTGAAGTTTTTAAAGGTCCTTGTAAATAGTACATCCTTTATAATTAGCCGGGTAATTTCCATTACAGAGAGCACATGTGGCTAGTGTTTCACGAGATTTCATACATGTAATGCTGAGGTGATTTTCTCCACATTTTATACAACGGGGAGTATACGAACAGTATCTTCTAGTATGTCCGTACAACTAGCAGTTTAGACATTGGGGTATTCAATTATGTTTATGTAGTTCTTCTATTTTAACTTTTGTGTGAAGTAGTCTTGTAATTTTGAAAATTTCTATGTTGTTTGGGTCGAGCTCTAAGTCAATGAAAAAGATTGGCAGTGCATTTTTTGCTTGGTGATGTTTAATACTTATCATTTGTCTGGTTGAGAAGCCAATTTCTTCTATTGCTTCAAGAATGTCAGTGGTTAGCGTAGATGGGTGGAGGTTTCTGAATTAATTTTCTATAATTATCCGGGTTTGCAGTTTGAACCTTTAGATGCGTAGCTGTTGATTTACATGTAAATGTGACTGGGCCCATTCATTTTGTAAACACTTTTAATAGATCTGAGAAATTTAGTACTCCTTCTATGAAGATAGAGGGTGGTAACTCAGCATTCACTTGTGTCTGTTCAGTGGTATTGAAGTGCTCTTGACTGGTAAACTTGTGTTTATCACAATATTTACAACATTATCTATAGTATCAGTAAGAACACTATAGTAGTTTGGAGTGGCAAATAATTTTGTTTTTTTAACGACCTCAGCAGATGTAGACAGCGATGACGGTGATGTAGGTAAATATATTTTATTAGATGTGAGTTGGAATTCATATTTTTACTATTTTTGTTTACAATTTTAATAGGTGAAACATATTTATCTGTATTTGGAGTCGCGTTGGACGGCATGATACTATCTTAATCAAGAGTCCAAAGATCACCGTGTGTGATGGCGCTTTGGAATACGATATAAAGTAGATATAATTTTATTATTGACCGAAATGTACAATTAAAATTACTATAATTTCTATCCCCCGAAGAGGTAAATGAGTAATAACTGGAAAACGTTGCAGAAATTCTTAGTTTTCTTGAACGGTAGTAAAGGTATAAAAATAAAAACAAAAAAAAACAAGCGTAGAATTTAGTTAAAACTAATATAAACACGTTAGCCATAACACGGGAATGCCGATAATACGTTTGTACTGTTAGGCTGACTGTGCGAGACTAATGTAAAATTGTAATCCAAAAATTAAGTATTAATTTTTTTTTTTTGAACTTCATGAAGGTACGGATATTTTTCTAATGGAATTATTTAAAAAAATTTTAATTTTTCCAATACGAATTGAAAAATATTAAATAATTTACAATTTATAGTTATTTAGTTATGTACTTACTCGTATCATGCGGAGTCGTATTTTCATCTAAACAAATAAATAAACAATAAATTAGCGATGTTCAAATTTAACATAAGTATGTTAAAATTATTTATAAACAATAAATTACGCATTTGAAGAACTGTAGTACATAAGATTATTAAAGATAATATAAATTAAAAATATAATTCTACTAAAAAATACAATGTTATCAATATATAACATCTTGAATTACGCAATAAAAAATATGAGAAAAAATTATTAAGAATTGAATACCTCGGCTAGTAAATCAAATGAAAAATCATAATTGTCTAATTTGTTTGAAAGTGTCCTATTTACAGGAACATGTATAGTCCTCTTAAGGATTGCGCATATTATAACATAATGAAAAATAAAGAAGATTTAAATATTTAACGGGACGTTAAATGGTATTCGAGCTAGTAATTCAAGACAATAGTCTTAAAATGAATTTAATATCATTATTAAATATTTTCTTAGATAAATAGTTCAATTTAATTTCAATTTCCATCTAAAAAAAATATAACATTGAATTAGTGATGTTCAATCCTACCCGATATGTCATGTTTGTATAGAGAAAATTATTTAATGTACAATTTATAGTTCTTTTGTCAAGTACTTACGTGTTTCTTGAGGAGTTATATTGACAACTAAATAAATGTATAAACCTTGAATTAGCGTTGTTCAAAATTATCTATTTAGTTCTATTTTTTACATCACTATACACAAGTATCCAGTGTTTATTGTCAGTTATGACATTAAAAACTGATTTGCTTAAGCTATGATAGTTTTAAGGCAAAACCAGGGCAAAACTATTTTTAGTAATAGACAATGGATATATAAACTATATGTATAATAATTGATTAATTTATAAATAACTTAATTTAATTAATATTTATTATTACTTGTATCGTCTGAGGGCAAGTTATTGGCTAAACAAATTATAGAATATTTTAAACATATTTTTTTTAATAACTCAATTTTTTGTATAAAACGCAAATCTATATGAATTGTTGCAAAACAATGTTTTCAAGGAGATTATTTTTACAAATTAGTGTTTATTCTATAGTCAAAATATTGAGGGGCTGGTTTCCCACTACCCAAATTTTTTTTCGTAATGTCATTATGGCTATGTCATCACATAGCAATTATTTGTAATAGTAATGTTAAACATTGTCAGATATCAATTAAAATTCTATAATGTTCTTTTCATTTTAAATGTATATTTGTTTACGTTTTAAAATATTTACGTAGTATAAACATGTCATAGAATATAAAGTTAATTATTTTACTCACAATCATTAGGTACATTCCGGTGAAATCCGAATACGCCTAAAAAATACAATATTTCATGAATAACATAAATCAATACTTATTATAACACTAACAGGTTATTTTCAGACTTTTTATTTTTAAATTGTATGTAGGAAAAATGATCAGCTTGTGCTGTTATTAAACTATCTATGATAACGAGTTAAGCCTAAAAATATAACAAATTATAATACGTTAACTTTAATAATATTACTAATAACATTATAATTAGAACAATAGATATGTATATCGTTTAAANCATTATAATTAGAACAAAAGATATGTATATCGTTTAAACATACAAAACATTTAAGATTAATAAATTCAAATTTAAATTCTTTACTGTGAATATTACGTATTATCGTGATAATAGATACTCAGTAAATATTTTGTGAATGAGATGTTTACATATAATAGTAGTAATTGATTAACTATATAATAATTATTATGATAGTGTATGTTGCATTTATGTCATCAGGGTATTAAATAATCAAATTTATTATTATTATTATTATTATTATTACATTTCATTTTAAGTTATCATTTCGCTGATGAATAGGTTATTCAAAGATGGTAAAAAAATGTTTTTTATAGAAATCACAATATTCTTCAAGAAATAAATTTTGTTATATTTTACAGACGAAAACATGATTGAATTTAAACCATAGACCAAATAAAATAAATGTTTATATACAATATTAAGGAAATGACATCAAAAGTATACGTAAAAATTATTATAATCATAATAATATCATCATCATAAATGAATATATCTTAAATGTTATGTAATATTGTGTGTTTTGATATATTAAATTTCTTACTTTTTAATAGGCATTGAAAATTAATTTAATAATTCTTAACTAATTTACAATTTAATGTTTTTTAATTGAGTACTTACTTATAGCTAGAGGTTGGATATCTAAACAAGAATATAAACGTTAAATGAGATATATAAAACCTATTCTATATAGAGTTAATAAGTAAATAGCTGATCATTAACAACTTTTTGACCGGTATTTCAGAAGTTATTAACATTTTTATACCTAGTGTCGTACGTTGGTAGTGCCCCAACGTAGACACAAAAGTTTTACACAAATTAATTAATGTTTTTATATTTGTATATTGACGACGAGTTCATCGTTCAAGCTCTTCTCGAGTCCTCCCGTTGGATAAACTGATCAGCCCCAATCTCCCAAATTACTAAAGGGATAGAATTTAGACCTGACAGCACAGTCTAGCTCAAAAGTAGCAGACTGACGGGTGGCTCCTTGTCAGCCACCGGCACAACTACCTTTTTACTATAACCACCAAAAGACGGTTAAGCCCAAAATCTAGCAAGGTCGTACACTAATTATTAATATTGACTAAAGGACCAGTAGTCCAACCTTGACTCTAGCCGCACACACACACACAATTCTAAGAACACGGTGAATATAAAATATTTGCGCTAAGTCCAGGTTTTTAAATAGCTATTTTATTTAAAAAACGTATTAAGCACAAAGTCAAAAAGATAATATCAAAATGTAACACAAAACAAAATTAAATCGTACAAAGACACTCGCGTCCAACTTCCTGGCACGTAACTCGATGTTTCTTCGACAAAACGTCCAGTCTCGTCCAGCCTCCCTATACTTTTCATGTTTCCCTTTTATATTCTTTTTCCCACCATTATTAATTTGATTACCCTGCATTTCCCTTTTATATGGAATTATTATGTTGCTTAAGAGTTCAAAAATTGCTTACTACTATTGTAAAGCTTATATTATATTAAAATCGACGTAGTTCAATACTTCCTCAGCTATTTACTACACTAGTCAGTAGGAGGATAGAAGCCAAAAAATAAAAATAACAGCTATTATTATATACTGTAATATTAAAATATTTTCAGTCTGAGGGAAAATAATCTACTGAGATGTGTACTTTTAATTAACGCTTGATTGAAAGCAAACAAATATAGTTTTTACATTTTTCACTAATTCCCTTACTAAAAAAAAAAAAAGTTCAATTCTAAAATAAAATTTTATGTCTGTTAATCAAAATTGTGGTTATTAAAAATTAACAACAAAAACATTAACATATAAAATATTATGTAGACATAATCATAAAAAATATTTTAATAGTTATTAATAAATTATATTTAATTTTAAACAGTTAATTCTAACAGTCGTAAGTATTCATTGGTTTTTGCCTGACGTTTAAATTACAAAGTTATTTATTAAGACATCAAAGTTGAGTTTGTTAACTAATTAAGTTTCAATTGCTAACAAATTTTGCTCAAACAAATACATTTTATGTTTATTTTTATTTGTACGAATTCTTAGAGATGAAATTTTTTTGACATCCCAACATAAAACTCCCCCAAAAGTAATTTTTATTTGGAGATTTCTGTATATTTTAAGGATAATACATTGTACGAAATTATACAAATTTTAACATACGTCAGGATAATATTTATAATAAACTTTAATATACAGTCAGTGTAATTTTGACATAAAGTATTTGTTTCGGTCTCAAATACTATTAATCTTTTATAACATTTTATAACTAGACGGTCACGACGCTGGTAACCATTCGCGAACGAAGGGTTATGTTTCGATCTCAGAGTGGACTGTAAAATACGTTACTTTTAACTATTTACTCAATAAGAAAGAGATAATATTTTTAATTTAGTTTATAATACTTTATTTTCGTTTAAACATATTGGCGTGGGCGTCGTGCCGTCCTTTACGATGACTAGTTCATCGCTGGACTACTATAAAATAAACCGACACCCACCAAGCAAACGCGCTTTTCTTATACAATAATAACATGCAAAATAATGTAAATCGAAAAGTATTAAAAAAATCTTTCAAAAATAAAACATTTTTATTAATNGAAAAAATCATTCAAAAATAAAACATTTTTATTAATATTATCTAGTAATTATAACTTTTAACTATTTCCCTGAAAGCTGTTAAACCTTAGTAAAATCATCATCCATAAATGAATTCATCTTAAATGGCATGTAATTATTTATATTTATTTTAATAAATTAAAGATATATAAATTTTTTTTTTATCTTATATGTTCAAAATTTTAAATGAATAAACGTAATTTTTTGAATATCTCATAAAAATTCTACCAAAAAAGGAAGTTTTGTATAAAGAATTTCATTATACAATATGAAAAAATATATATTAATAACTTAAGGGCTTAGCTTGTGAATCAAAATAAATTAGTATCGTCTAATTTGTTAAAGTTAAACATTATCTCATTGATTGGAGCGTGTATATTTTATAATTTTGTTTACTACTAATAANAGTAATTATAACTTTTAACTATTTCCCTGAAAGCTGTTAAACCTTAGTAAAATCATCATCCATAAATGAATTCATCTTAAATGGCATGTAATTATTTATATTTATTTTAATAAATTAAAGATATATAAATTTTTTTTTTATCTTATATGTTCAAAATTTTAAATGAATAAACGTAATTTTTTGAATATCTCATAAAAATTCTACCAAAAAAGGAAGTTTTGTATAAAGAATTTCATTATACAATATGAAAAAATATATATTAATAACTTAAGGGCTTAGCTTGTGAATCAAAATAAATTAGTATCGTCTAATTTGTTAAAGTTAAACATTATCTCATTGATTGGAGCGTGTATATTTTATAATTTTGTTTACTACTAATAATATAAAATAAAAACAAATGGTATTACAGTATAGATATGGCATAGCTAGGACAAATATACTTTGTATCTAACAGTGATTATAATTGTCACTGTCATAAGAAACGCTTCAATGCAAATAGATAGTGTTCAATTCTAAGAAATTGGTGTGTATTTACAAAAACCACATCAAGCCCTACTTCCCTAATTATATCCTGAGTAATAGTTCATTGATTCAAAAGTTTAATATATGAATAAATATATATTAGTATACTTATATTATAAGTAGTTGTTACTTTACATTTTTCAAAAAGTTATAGCAATTTAAAGTTGAAATATTAAAATATGAAATCGAAAATTTTTAAAACAAATTTGACAGATAGAATATAATTCGTAGGCACAATTTTTTTTTTTTTTTTTTTGAACTTATAGTATATGATATAAGCTTTATTTTAAAATATGTTGGAAGCTCGGAGTACTTCCGGAACAATTTCAATACTTAAGTTGCACGAGTAAAATTTTTGTGCAAAAAGTTGCTAATTTCAACTCCCATTATGTACTTACTTGTTTCTTGAGGAGCCGTATTATCAGCTAAACAATAAAAAAAGTGTATTAGTGATGTTCAAATCTATGAAGGTGTATTATGTTTTGTTATATAAATAACAAATAATTAAGTAAAAAAAAAAAAATTAAATATTTAGAGAATGAAATCAAAAGTATCCATAAAAATTCTTATAGCCTTAGTAATATCATCATTATAAATGAATAAATCCTAAATGTCATGTAATAATGTGTGTTTTTATATACTTAATTTATAATTTTCTCCAAAGGAATGGAAAAAAAGTATTATATAAAAAGTTCTCCAGTTAATTGCTTATTCGTAACTACAGAATTGTCATCTAATCAAGTTCGAAAATTAACACAGAACAAGCTAATTTTAATTCTATTCTGTATACAATAAAATACGTTGAACAGATATCCCATATTAATTTATAACCTAAAACTGTAATTATTAAATAGTAATATTTTATTTTTCAATGATTTATTTTTAAAATTTAAGTGGGAAAAATTAGTCTCAAAAGTAACGCCACATAAAGATCTACTTAAAAAATTGGGCGTTCATCGTTTCCGCCAAATCTGAATAAGGTCGTTTTTTCGTTTCCGCCAAACTGATCTTCTACCTATCTATCTACTAAAAAATTTGAGAACCGTTTAGCTTTATCTATGGTAGGCAGCTTCCCGTACCAGAATTTTCGGCATTTATTAATTATAGAATTCAATGTTACGCTCAGGTCTGTATTTATGAATTTTGCGTGGGGTATTAATATTAATGAGCAAAATAAAGTAATTTTTTATAGTTCTTTTGTCAAGCACTTACGTGTTTTTTGAGGAGGCACAATAAGGGCAAAGATATTTTTAGTAATATACAATGGATATATTAACTATATGTATAATAATTGATTAATTTATAAATAACTTAATTTAATTAATATTTATTATTACTTGTATCGTCTGAGGGCAAGTTATTGGCTAAACAAATTATAGAATATTTTAAACATATTTTTTTTAATAACTCAATTTTTTGTATAAAACGCAAATTCACTTACACGTTACTTTTGTTAATTTTAATTATAAGACTTATATATATTTGTCAAAATAATTAATACAAGTTATAGAAATAAACTCAGTATGTTGCCCCTCATATCTGTATTTTTATTTATTTAAATTAACTTAAAATATCGACATCAACAAGGAACATCACAATTCACCATCTATCTACGAATCCATTTGGACATCAAGGTAAGTGTAGTCTTAAGACATGCACTATATTCATGTAATATTAAGAAATAGGACAGAGTGGGTAAGAGGTAGGATTAAGATGATATGAATGAATCTAA